ATGAGATGTCACAACTTGCAGTTAAGTTGGGACACCATTCTGTACCTATAAGTACTTTCGCTGTCCCCAACGTAAGATTTGGAGAATGTATCATATTGTCAATGTCTAATCGTTTTGCTCCTGATCAAAATAACATTTTGTGATTAAACGAACTGAGAAGATACCGTGGAACAATTTTGAAACACGTTTAAGTAGGTTCTCTATCTAATACTTTATATTAAACGGTGATTTTACAACGTGTTCACGTTTACATCATGAATATCTGTTGTGATATGTAGAATGATCTCAGTAGAAATATATAGACTCATGTGCCTCCATATGAAATAAAACTTACAAGTTAAACTGTGTTGCTTTTTTTAATTAAAATAACAATGGAGATCTAACAAAAACAAGCAAGGTCCATCGAACTGCTGTAACTCGAACTATTTAGGAAATGTTCCACAAACAATTAATTAAATGGCCGAAGAATACATGAGGTTGGATTCAACACTTTTACTACCCTTGTAATATGTACTAGATTTTTTAATTGTCCTTCGAATTTTACGTTTTACTTTTCCTAAATAAATTCTAATTCGGTATAAACAAAACATATTTATAATTTTGTGTTTTACTGTATGACAAGAAGGGAAAAAAATGTTTTTAACAAGAGAATCATTAAAAACGTAGTATTTATAGTACTTCAAAAAATCAAAATTCTTTTCTGGAAGATGTTTACATAAATTTTGGAATTAACTATCGAATAAAAAGCGACACAGACGACAGTCAAATAAACAGGTAGACGGAAACTGGAGACCTATTTTATTCCACTCTTGGGGCCTGAAACGTCGAGAAAATCGCATTATACATATATTATTCCACAGTTTACCTTCGTAACGTAAAAATAAAATCTGTTTAAGCAAATGTTACAGTTTGTGTTGGAGTCAATGAAACCAAAATTTTTATTTCCCGAACTTGTCAAACAGCTGATTTAAATCTTCTGTATACATTAATCTCCGAAACTACTGGACTGATGGGGATGGAATTTTAGCTATATTTTAGAATGCCGCAGATTGAAGTGAAGTTTGGATGATCATCCTCATTAAAAATTTCTTAAAGGGTATATCATTTGCCAAAATTAGTTTTCTCTTTACAAGTACTAGCGCCACCCACCCGCCTTTTATTTTCTTAGAGGATATCATTTGCCAAAATCAGTTGTATCTTAGGAAGTACTAGCCCCGCCCACCCACCCTATATTTTCTTAGAGAGTATATCATCTGCCAAAATCACTCTTACCTTAGCAGGTATTAGCCCCGCCCACCCACCCTCTTCTCTTTCAGGGTTTCTCAGTTGCCAAAATCAGTTTTATCTTAGCAGCTATTAGATAGGATAAGACTGTTTTTGGCAAATGACATATCCTCCAAGAAAAGAGAGGGTGGGTGGGCGGGGCTAGTACCTGTTAGGATAAGACTGATCTTGGCAAATGAGATACCTTCTAAGAAAAGAGAGACCAGGTATATCATTTGCCAAAATCAGTCTTATCTTTACAAGTATTAGCCCCACCAACCCGCCCTTTATTTTCTTAGAGGATATTATTTGCCAAAATCAGTTGTGTCTTAGGAAGTACTAGCCCCGCCCACCCACCCTATATTTTCCTAGAGAGTATATCATCTGCCAAAATCAGTCTTATCTTAGCAGGTACAAGCCCCGCCCATCCACCCTCTCGCTCCTTGTAGGGTATGTCATTTGCCAAAATCAGTTTTATCTTAGCAGCTATTAGATAGGATAAGACTGATTTTGGCAAATGACATACCTTCTAAGAAAAGAGAGGGTGGGTGGGCGGGGCTAGTACCTGTTAGGATAAGACTGATTTTGGCAAATGAGACCTTCTAAGAAAAGAGAGACCGAGTATATCATTTGCCAAAGTCAGTCTTATCGTCACACATATTCGCCCCACCCACCCGCCCTTTATTTTCTTAGAGGATGTCATTTGCCAAAATCAGTTGTGTCTTAGGAAGTACTAGCCCCGCCCACCCACCCTATATTTTCCTAGAGAGTATATCATCTGCCAAAATCAGTCTTATCTTATCAAGTACAAGCCCCGTCCACCCACCCTCTCGCTCCTTATAGGGTATGTCATTAGCCAAAATCAGTTTTATCTTGGCAGTTATTAGATACGACAAGACTGATTTTGGCAAATAACATATCCTCTAAGAATAGAGAGGGTGGGCGGGCGGGGCTAGTAGTACCTGTTAGGATAAGACTGATTTTGGCAAATGAAATACCTTCTAAGAAAATAGAGACCGGGAATATCATTTGCCAAAGTCCGTCTTATCTTTACAAGTTTTGTCTGTTTCATCTACTTCATCTACTAAAAAATTTAGTGCGGCGCTCACATTACGATGTAGTAGATGGTACGCATTTGAAACTTTCATTTTATTAAAATGATTTAAATTCAGTAACTCTGGCGTTAATTTTGGCGCTAACTGCAAATCCAAATCGTCTTGAAAATCAGCAAAATTTTTGATATGCGAAACATTTACAATATTTGTTGGTAAGTGGTATTTTTCTGTTATATCAACAGGCAACTCGATAATTTTGTTATTTACCAAAGCAGACCGTATGTTCTTATATAAATGTGGAGCGTCAGCAGCAAAATAAACATTCTTACTTTCGTCATTTGGGTTCACTCTATTGAATTTTGGAATTGCCTTTTCGTACTTTTGATACCAAGAACCTTCCATATTGTTCGGTTGAAAGTTCCCATGTCCAAAGTTACATTAACTAAATTTAAACCGATTCGATCACACATAACGATAATTTCTTTTACAATTCTAGATAGGTAATGCATCTCCGTCTATGGAATCCCCAGTAAAATGATAACATACGATTTGCTTCCATCGTAAGCTTATACCTCCTAACATAAAAACCAAAACATGTGTAGCGACTTCATTTAAATTTGTTAATGTTGTATTTCCTAAAAGTAATGAGGAACCTGGACAGTATTCTTTACCTGGATTGATTGCTGCTTCGTCTAAAAATAAACAACAATCTCTTTCATAATCATTAAAATTTTGAATTTTGATTGTTAAATATGTAAAAATGTCATGTAAAATTCCTGGTAAAAATAGTATGTGCTGAATTTTACGATATAGAGTTCTACTTGAAGGTAACGGAAAATTTATCTTCAGAAGATAGTTATATCCTGACGTTCCACAGACAAATTTTATTTTAATGGCTTCTTCTATTGTTTTGTTGTTCCATCGTTTTAATTGTTTACGTTTAACACTTAAATTTTGAATTTGATTTTCGTTGAAAATCCCTTTTATAACTCTGTTTAATGAACCGTACTTGTTTTTGTAATTTTCCACTGGAGCTTCTAAACTAGAAATTTTTGCTTTCAAAATATGAATTTCTTTTTCAGCCCCCCGCGTTATTTGTTCTTGTAACTTTAAATTTTGATTTTGCAATTTCCTGATGAAGATGTCTTTTTCTAAAATTGTGTGCTGAAGTTCATTAACGACATTTTCTTTGTAAAGAACCGGTAATTTTGACGTAAATTCAGCCACATTATAAATTGTTGGAATTGCATTCTCACATAATTTTGCACTGACTTCAAATATAAAATTTTCTTTTTTGAAGTGAACCTGTTGACCAAGGATTAGATGTAAAATATAATTTTGGACAACAACCTCGCAAATATAAGCCCTTTTGCCAATTTTCCAAGATGGATATTGCATCTGTTGTCTCCATTTATTACGTTTTCGGGGCATTTAAATAATGAGAAACCATTTGCGTCTGTATTACTGCAGTTTCGTACGCAGCAGACGACGACCATTCTTTTCGACGTCTATGTGCTAAATGACAATTAAAATTTGTCAAAACATGACTCAAAAAATCAACCGCGGCCACCATAGTAAAATAAAATTTACCATTAATTTTGACGTTTCGTGTCACAACTCTTTTCCAAAGTATATCTAGGGTCTCTAGTACTGTCTATCTGCGATGTACAAAATAATGACCCCTGCGACTTTCCGCATTTTAGGCGGGACCACCAGATGGCGCAGCATGACAAGCACCCGATATTTCTACAGATTTAATTGCCAGATTCAGATTTGAATATTTTTCAAACATAAATAAATGGAACTAAAATTCTTTTGTTGTCGACTGTAATTAATAAGATATATTTGTACGCATCACTTTGGCAATTTGTATACTTCCCATAGTCCCGTATGTAATTATTATAGCAAATTGAATGAACGACAAAATCATATTTTTCTAAAGAATTTTTTTTACTATGTCCAAATAATCAACCTCCGTGACCGATATTCATTCCGAGGGATCTGGCAACACTGTTCACAGTTTCACTGTGGCAACACTGTGCGCAACCCTAACACCGTTTAGTCAAGATCGTCCGGTGTCCGGTACTGCGGTCGTTCTATGCTCCGGTCTCCGGTCTATGCCTTTGTTTTTGTTTTGCATTTCGAGCACGTTGTAAATAACAGGTCTGTGGTAAAAAGTATTGTGCTGTGTCGACATAGCCAAATGAGTGTGTAAAGGGTGGGGTAAGTATTAATTGTAGATAACAATTCGGCTTATTTGCGTTTTTTAAGTACTTAACCTCAATTCGCTAACTGTGTACCGCCAAAACAGAAAAAAGGAGGGATGTTATTTATTGACTGAATTATACGTTTAATTGTGGTTGAACTACAGATGTTTGGCTGAGTGAAATGAACAATTAATTACCGAAATTTTTGTGTAGTTAATTGTAATGATTTGTCAGGCTAGGTCGCGGGTCCGAAATATCAAGCTTTATGGATGCTTGCAGGGTTGCCAGATTTTCAGAATCTTATGTCACCAAAGTGTTACCACTTTGTCGCCACTTACTAAAATTTTTCAACACCAACAACGTAAAAATAGGTGTTTTTTTTCAAATTGATTTGAGCAAATGCTTAATGCTAAATTTAACGAGTGGCAAATACATCTTTTTTCAGAAGAACAGACACTAATTTATGCTTCCCAATTCAATTGCTCGCTCTGTCAACTCCTAATCTTATGAGATTGTTAAATGGCAGGCCCACTTCCTCCAAAAAGTTTTTTAGCTTTCGATGAAGAGAAATAGCATCACAGTCTGCTAATTCCACAATTCCCAAATACTCCATTGTAATTTCGGTTTTTTTCTTACTAGAGTATTTAATACACAGGCACATACACTTTGTAGCTGAAATATCGGTAGTCATCAATAACACTAGTTTACAAGGTTTTATATCCGAAGACAAAAATAGTTGAATCTAAAGGATTTGGGTTCGGGAAATTCAAATCTGAAAGCAGAAAAAATCCATCACGTCAGGTTTTTGAGATATTTATATAAACATACCCCGGATTTTTTTTCTTTTATACAACTCTTATAACTTTTTTATTTTTAAATATATATGAACATATAGTTCTTTAAGCAAATTTGTATCATTTTAAAAGACCATTTAGGTAAATAAATAACATGAGTGTCAATTTTTCAAGCTACTAGATTGTCATCAATGTGTTATTTAAAATTTTTCAAGTACTGATTTTAGAATAATTGGTTGCTTTTGACTTATCAACGGGAAGTGATAATAAAAATGTGATGTTGACCTCACAAAGATCTTTTAAAATGATACAAATTAGCTCAAAGAATTACAGGTTTATCTATAAGAATAAAGAAGTTACAGGGATTGTATCAAATAAAAGCAACACCCAGTATATATTATAAACATTATGACTGAAAATTAAAAATGGTTAACACTGACGTTCTTTTATTGGCAGTACTGTCAGTTTCCCTTATAATAGACCAACAGTAACACATTTTCGTCCCAAAAACCTTTATACCTTCATTTTAAGCATATTTGAACAGGTCTTCCCGCTTTAAGTACTATAATTTTACCACAAATGTAACAAAACTGATTTGCACTTACTTTCCACGATCTCGAAGACATTTTTTATGCGACAATTGTGCATTAACATGAATCAATTTAACGCAAACGTGAAGGTAAAGCAAAGTTCATTATTTTGGATTTATGAAAAAACCTGACGTGATAAGGATTATCCGTTTTTGGATTTGTTGTCAGTAAGTAATTTAGAAGTAAAAAATATTTTTTTTATTTTTGGATACGAAAAAAAGTTTAAATTTGTAAACTAGTGTAATTAATGAATATTATTGATGTCCATTATCACTGATTAATTCCTCCAAAAGAGTAGGTGCAAATAACATTCCGAATAATGGAGGTACATTTTGTTCTAGAGGTGTTGCTACCGATTTTTTTTAGCAAATCGATGTCACACGCAGCGCCATCGATGTAATCGATGTGTTCAATTTGCGCGGGTATTTTAAAATACGAATTTTTTTTTTAATTTTAATATCACAAACTGAAATACAAAAGAGTATACATAAATAACATGAAATAAAATTTGAATTCTATAGAAAAAAAATTATTTGGACCACATGGTTATTAACGGTGGACAACATTTACAGCCGTATGTTCATATTTAAGAAAACTAGAGTATTTACCATTTCATTCTTTAGTCTACAACGTTTGTTTGATAAAATCTGCCCAGACTTGGAAAATACGCGTTCACTAGGAACAGATGTAGCAGGGCGTGCAAGGTGTTTCATAGCTGCTTCTTTCAATTTGGGAAATTTAAGTCCTTCAGTACTCCACCACTTCAATGGATCCTCATATCTGCCAATAACAGGCAAATCCTCGTATCGTTTTATTTCAATATTAATATTTATATCCTCGCAGACAAATTTACTTTTTTGTTCTTGTACTTTGCTGTCAAATAAATTCCAAAACCTCGTAACTTTGTGTCCAACCTATCCGTACAACAACTTTCAACATCAGGGTCAGCAGAATAAAGTGTAATTGTTGAAGCAGTAGAACAGGATGCCGTTGGTTCAACTGAAGTTAGTTCAATGTCTGGAATTTCTTCTGGTTCCTGCTGCTTTAGCCCCGAAACAATTCGTTGTTTTAATGACAACAGTTCTGTATCAGGGATGCAGATATGTTTAAAGCGTGGGTCTAAATATGATGCTAACTGGAAATTATGATTATAGTCAAACTTCCCTATACGCTTCTCCACATTCTTTTGTAAGATAAACTTTAGTTTAGTACCATCTTCATCAATATTGGATAATTTCAACAAATATGCCTTCAAACATTTTGTTAAAGGTAGTACTTTGGAGGCTGAGATATTTAATTCCGAAGATAATTCTTCTGTTACTGTATAGAAGGGTTATAAAACTTTCAAAAGATCAGCAATTGTTGCAAAATCATTATAGAGTAATATTGGTACATCTTTTTTGTCAATTGACGACAGTACTTGTGGTAACACATCTTTCAATTTGTAAATACTTTCTAACATGATGAAAGTTGAGTTCCACCTAGGTGGTACTTGTTTTTTCAGAGTTTTGGGAATCATTCCTTTAAAAATCAAATGGAAATTACTTACAATTAATATATTAAATAAATATAGTTTACCTTTACTTTGCTGAGCTTGTTTAAGATAGCTGCTATAGGTGGTGCTTGCTTTAAATAAATGTACTACTGCCCTGCATTTCTCAAGTATTCTTGTATTTGCTTTGGTTTCATACTCCTGTAAACTGTCCTTAACTATCAAGTTTATGGTGTGTGCATAACAGCCATAATGTTGCCATCTACCTTGTTGAACGTCTGCTACAACATTTGCCCCATTATCTGTAGTGATTGACACGATTTTGTCCTCTACATTATAATCTTGAAAACATACAAGCAACTCTTGTTTTATGTTTGTAGCACTGTGCTTTTCTGGAAAATGTTGTGTTTGTAAATTGAAACTTTGCAAGATAAATCGCTCATCAATGAAGTGGGCAGTTATGGCCATGTAAGACAGACAATTATGGGAGTCTGTCCATAAATCTGTTGTTATATGAATGTGTTTTACCTTCTTTAGCATTACTTGAAGTTTTTCATTTTCACCCACATATAATTTTTTTATAGTATTTCGAATTACAGGTCTGGAAGGGAATGGCAGTCTTTCATCAATTCCATTTATTAAATTTATAAAACCTTTGTCTTCTAGTACTGAAATTGGTTGAAGATCCTTTGCGATCATCAGCGCAATATCATTATAAAAAGACTGCACTTTTGGACTATTTAGTGGATAAGTGCTAACAGAGTACACATAAATTTATAAATTCGAATTTGTTTAGCACCATCATCTGAAATTAATGCTTTATATTCCACCGGGTGATGTCTGTCCAAATGTTGGGACAAATTGCTTGCATTCCCTGAATAAAAGACTAAACTGTGGCAAATCTACAAAAAAAAAAAACTTTTTGTAAATATTTCAAAAATATTTTTCCAAAGTACTTGACACTCACGATCCTTATACGGTCGAAGCATTCACCGGCGATAGTGGGGGACTGATGTCACATTAGTCCAAGGCGCGTCAGTCGCATTTGACTCCCGTCTTAACTCAACAATAATTTTTAGTGTTTGTAAATATTTCAACTATATTTAAAACACGTGGAAGAGAAAAAATTGCACTTAAATTCGAATATAATTTATCGTAAAAGAATTAGTGACCTTTATTAATTCTGCAACTTTTAATTTTAAAGAATGTAAAAAATAAAAAGACGTGAAAAATAAACGGATGTCAGAAATAGACACCCTTCGTTTTAGAATTGCCTCTATTATCCATTAATTACAATAATTTTTACTTCTCACTACTTATCTAATAAGTCATAAATTAAAATAAATACCCACTCTTTGGGTTATTCAAGTAGTTTTATTAAAACAACATTTTTAGTTATTAAAGAATATTTATTTAATTAAAAATTTGTCATCTGACAGGCTCAAATTAACGTTTAAATGGATTTACAAGTATAACCAGTCAAGATTAACAAAAAACCTTACAAAAAAATGTATGTTTTGAGATAATTAAAAAACCACCGAATAATATACAAGAATCAAAAGCTGATTCAATTGTAGCAATTACGGACGAACTCATTAAAATTAATTAATAATTTTTCGCATTTTTTTCACACTTTTCCGTTGATCTGATGTTAGGTCATTCGCTTTTCGTTTTTGACTTTTGCGTTCATGGTTTTTAACATTTAACCATTTAATTTTGATGTAGATCCTCTGAAGAACAACACTTCTTTTTTTAATAGAATTCACGATGCGTTTTGTGATGTAAGGATCTTTATTTATTTGTGTTTTGTGAAACCTATTAAAAATTCTTTCACATTCTTTCGCTTGCAAAAGCCATTTATCGCTTGGTTGCGTAGACCTCCAAATGACAGGTGTTGAATCCAACCTGGCATTCCATAGCTGTGATCTGCTGTATTATTTTTTGTATAAATAAGGTGAAATAATAGACAAATTGTATTAGTTAAATAATATTTATAAGATTATAAGTCACTTTCGGACTCAGATGAGTCGTTATTTATTGAAATTATAATTTCGTTAGGCCGTGTATTTACAAATGTTGATTCAACTTTTATAACATGCCGAATACAATTCTGCCATTTTTCAGAAGATATGAGTTCTGATTGTTGTCTAATGAGATTTACTACAGCGGGAGAACTTTCTGGATGATTATTATATTTTCTAATATTTGTTTTTAAGTCACAAAAAAGTTGTCAATAACTTACCGCCAAAATCAAATCCAGTAAAATATAAAGTATTGAAAAATAATATTTTAGTATTCAAAAATACTGTTTTTTTAAAGCAAAGAAACATTGGAACAGACACTCAAAAATAACGACCGACAAGTAAGACGTGAAATCAGTTATTGAAATGAAGACCAAGTCAAATCTACCCAAAGTACCTTTTGGGAATTTAAGTAAACAATTTCATTACCGAAAGCAGGTAAAACTTTCAACTCAACCCGAATACGGCTCTGTATAAAATGACCTGTTAAGCTCTTTTCATAATTTATGGTTGCGGTTTCAGGGGCACCGCTTTTTGAGTTATTGGTCCAATAAAAATTTATGTGGGTGTATCTCGAATACGGTTACAGTAACATGAGCAGTGACCAGTAGACCCACAAGAGAAGTATAAGTGGTTGCCTACATAAAAATGTTTGGATGTTACTTTCCAACACAATTACATCTTTCAATAAGTATTGATACATTACCAATCAAGAAAATTTGACACTCTTTTAAAAATTGAAGTTTGTCTTTGTCTATAACTTTCGCATTTTTAATAACGATTTTACGCGAAAACCGACATCAATTTTTGTTAATGAGAGGAAAATACTTTTGTCAGAAAAGTTTAATTCCATCAGTGTACTTGTGCGTAACTTGCAAAATTTTTCTTTTACAAAACGTTTTAATAAATTTGTTGGTAATCTCTCTAAGTACTGGTACAAAAAGGGAATCATTGGCTTTGCCGTTTGGTGCTTTATCAAAAATAGTTCAAGTACATTAGTAACCGTAGAAAAAAGGCTAACTTGAACGGAAAAGTTGCATCAGTTAAATTGTCTTTTATGTTTTTGATCGAGGTATTTTTTGGTAATCCTTTCTGATTTTTAACAAATAATGAAATGGGCTCTAGTAATTCCAATCCCCTGTTAGCCACTTTAGAATTCTCGAGTTACCTTACGCTGCAAAATTTGAGAGGGAAGTTGGATATTCCAGCAAGGCTAGTGAAATCCCCTCTGCGAGCAGAAAAGTTGACAAATAAATAGTACATTCCCCGTAAAAATTTATGAATATTCCATAGGGCTCGTCGAACACCGTTTTGAAAGGCTCCATGCACTACGTGGAGACCACACGACCCCAATATTAGTTAGTGATTCCTCCTCTTTCAGTGTTTCAAAAAACTTCGAATTAACATTAGATCCGTCCATAGAAATCTATTAAAAAATGTAACTGCATACCACTATAGGGAAAGATATGACCTTGAAAGGGACCCGCAAAATCTATATGTAGACGTGTCCACGGAGCTTTGGCCCATTCCCATGGAAAAACGGGAGCCTTGGGTGGCATATGTCTGGACTCTTGACACGCGTGGCATTTGCCCACTCTCTCTTCAATGGCCTGGTCAATTCCCGGCCAACAAACATATGACCTTGCTAGTGCTTTCATTCTCACAATACCTGGGTGACCGCTATGTAAAAGATCGAGGACTTCTTCCCTCCCTCCTGGTGGAATAATAACCTTGTTGCCCACTAATAAACAATTCTTGTAGGCTGAGATCTCATTTCTTCTGGTTAGAAATGGCTTGAACTCTTGAGGGATTTCTTTTGAGTCTGGCCATCCATGCCATGTCCAATGAAGTACTCTAGAGAGTATCGGATCTCTATTTGTTTGATCTGCGACTTGCTTGGCGGTGAAAAGCGGTTCTGGCATACTTTCTAACATCAATACACTGGCTTCTTCCGGTATCTGGATCTCTGGATGGTTTAAAGGAAGCCGACTCAGCGCATCTGCTTGCGGGATTTGTTTTCCAGGGACGTAGCATAATTTATATCATATGCACTCAGAATGAGTGACCATAGAAGCATTCTAGGTGACAGGATTTTTCCTGATGGCTTCTTTTCACTTAAAATTCCCAATAGCGGTTTATGGTCGGTTCTTACTTCGAATGTGCGACCATACAAGTAGTCATGAAACTTTCTGACACCCACCAAGATTGCTAGGGCTTCCTTGTCCAGCTGTGAGTAATTTCTCTCTGTTGAAGACAGTGTACGGCTGTGGAAGGCAATAGGTCTTTCAAAACTTTGGTCATCTCTCTGACTAAGGACAGTACCTACTCCATAAGCGCTGGAATCACAAGTCAAAATTAGCTCGAATTTCTCATTGTAGTGGGCTAGGACTTCTGACGAGGACAGAAGAAGTTTCAGTTTTCCAAAGGTTGTTGCTGCTTGTTGTCCCATTTCCATTTTGTTTCCTTTCGTAACAACTTATGTAGGGGTTCGGCTATTTCTGCCTTATTCTTAAGGAAAATACTATAGAAGTTGAGCATACCCAGGAATGCTTCTACATTTCTTGGGGTTGGAGCTTCTATTATAGCTTTTTTCTTTTCTTCGGAGGGCCGAATACCTTCTGTAATCTCGTACCCCAAGAATTGCACTTTGTTCGTTAACAAAATACATTTTTCTTTTCTCAACCGAAACCCATCTTCTCTAAATCTTGATAATATTGCTCGCAGACGCATTTCTAGATTTTCCATTGAAGAGGCTACTACCAAAATGTCGTCAAAATATGGTAGAACCCCAGGGATTCCTGCTAATCTAAGATCTATAAATCTTTGGAAAATATGTGGAGCAATGTTGATGCCAAATTGCAATCTCTTCACTACTGTCGACTACTACGAGCTTATTGTGGACTGGTTCCTTTCTGCAAAAATGACTACAAAATTTAAAGAAATTGTTGATTGGTTCATGGTAAAAAAAAGTTAAACAGAATTAAAAAATCGTTATTTTAACATATGGAATACGTTCATGAAGTCTTCTAGGGTTCAAAGTTCATGTTTGTTTTAAAAATACAATTTTGTAGATTGGTGCCTTTCTGCAAAAAGCCGCCCAATTCAACAGTGGCCGTTAATTGAGATTTATTAAACTGTGTACAGAAAAAATAGAAAAATTAGTACTTTGCAATTAAACCGTTACATTACTTAAAAACGAACTACCGCACTTTTTTATCCCGCATGAGGGCGCTTACATCGCCTTCACAGCGCACGGTGGGAATGCCAGGGACGATTGTGCTCGTAATGTGAAATTTGCCCTGCAACAGAGACGTAGTAAATCGACTTTAACGCTGTGAAAGAAACTTTTTTTTTTAATTTCCTTAACAGGAAATAATACTGAGAAAACTTCAACACTTCTTTCCAAGATTTCAAACTGTCGTCATTCCTAATTTTTCCCTGAAGTGT